ACTCGTTTCCACCTATTTCCACCCAGCTCACCCGTTTGCCAGGTCTGATGAAGACCAAATCAACCACAAATAAATTAAGACAGTAAGACATAGAATAATGAATAATGAATAATATTAAGAGAAAATGGCATATTCCCACCCGAGGTTTAGCAAAATCCCAATTCGATACCCCTGGTTGCATTTATTCCAGATTCCCTCTCTTAAAATAATGGTGTTTCCTTTATTTTAACAAATTCCCAACTTTTTATTGTAGCGCGACGTATGTTAGCACACTAAAGTGCATCTTCTTTGGTAGAAGATGGGCTCATGTTAGCAAAAAATGGCTCACATGAACAACATCCAAGTTGACAGTTTTTGGCTGATTTCCAAGTCCAAAATCACTTCCGAGACCACCGTTGGACTCCCCACCACCTTCTCTACAAAACTCATACCTTCACTTGCCAACTTCACTGATCATGGTTTCCGACCACCTCCAATAGTTACTAACAGTGTGAGTTTAAGGATGGGAATCTGGAATAAATGCAACCAAGGGTATCAAATGGGGATTTTGCTAAACCTCAGGGTGGAAATAAATAATATATCTCTTTTTTTAATAAACTACTCCACGATTTTTTTTTTTTTTTTTTTTTTTTTTAGACAACCCAAACAAGTAAACTCAATTAAAATTTTATATAAAAAAACCTTAGGTTTTCTAATAATCCTTATATTGGTAGGTTTTGTATCCGGGTGATCCATGTGGAGAAAACCTTCAAAATTAAAACTCAACTTAACACCATGCAATGGAACTCCAAGGTACTAAACTGTGAGACGATTGCAACAAAAAAGAAACAGGCCGTTAGAAGGCTAATTATTCAATATCGATTGAACTTGAAGCAAATCTGATAAAACACATTATAAAAAGGGTGGGAAAAACATATTTCCAGTTTTCTCTTTACGATTCCGACGACAAGCCTTCACCGAGTTGAGTTACCAATTTCCCTATTCACCGAAAACCCTAGAAATTGAGATGATGGTTGGTGAACAATTGAAGGCTGAGATATTGAGGCTTTTAAAGAGTAAGGATCGGTGAGTGCAATGATGGCGATGGAGGTGATTTCCAGTGAGTGAATCGACCAAAAATCGAAAAAAATCAACAATGACAACAACCGCCTTTTGCCAGCTATTAGTGAGGCGAACAGAGGTGGGGTGAGATGAGTTTTGGTCAGGAGGCTGAGGGGAGTACTTTCGTGGTGATAGGGAGGGTTGTCGATGTCAGTGGTGATGACATCTAGTAGAAATCGAATCGATTGCGGCTAGATCTTGGGTAGATTTTCTGTGGAATGGCTCAAGGGATTGGGATTGCATTTGGTGTATTGTCGCCGCCAACTAGTCTACCGCCAATGGTGTGTTTGCTAAAATTCAAACCTGTATGAACTTAACTATAATTTTTAGAGTTGTATTTGCTAAATTTTAAACTTTTGGACACCTGGGTTTGACTGAATGGTCAAACTGGTCAACCCAAGACCCGACAACTTTGTCGAGTTTCATCTCGGGTCGGTATTAAAACATTGGTGGTCGGCGATTTTGGGGCAATCGTGGGCAGGGGTGATATGGGTTTCCGTATGGGGGTTAAGGAGAAGTGTTTGGTGGTGTTTATGGTGTCTAATGACACCAAAATTAGTCAAAATGGCGTGAGAGGCAGTCATGCAGATTGTTGGAAAATGGCACAAGACTAGTCCAAAAAAATTTGATCAAGGTCGGAAAAAGGTGGAACAAGGCTAAAGGTTAACCAGGCAACACAAAGGAAACTGAGCAATCGTAAAAAAACACTGCAAACGGCCGGCAGAGACATCGACAATGGCGAGGATTTGGGTTTGGCTGGGGAATTTTTTCAAACAGATGGAGTGCCAATAGCTTCAAAGCTTCAAACTCCCACACCTGAATTCAAACAATCCTAGAAAATCAACACAAAACACTTCAGTAACAAGCACAATTGACCTCTAATCAAACACACATTCAGTCTCCTTTCAAAAACTTCAAAAACAAACTCCAATAAAACCCAATTTCACCAAAGTCACAAAACCCTAATGGAGGGCTCAAACAGCTAACGACAGACAACTAGGGTCAAGGCTATTGGGGGTTTTGGAGGTAGGAGACCGGTGAGTTGATTGGTGGTCTCAAGAGGGATTTCCGGCACTGGAAGCAGTTGGAAAAGGGCAAGAATCGCATGAACCAACCATATACGGTGGCTAGCAAATGGAGGGGTTAAATAACGGGAGTGGGAGGGTTTTTGGTGAGGGAGTGATGGGGAGTATTTTGGTGGTGATGGGAGGGCTTAACGACGCTAAATTTAGGCTAAAATGGCCCGAATATGCGGCCGAACGATGGGGTAAGAAAAAAAGAAGAAGAGTAAGGGGTATTTTCGTTTTCACAATGAATATCACTCTATTTAACGGAAATTATTAATGGAATATAACGTTTTGGTAGTAAAGGTGTATTTTGAAACTTTTTTAATAGAAAAGTGTAATTAGGCCATTATTTGGGTGGGAAAAAATCATTTACACTATTTTATTTCATGTAAGGGTAAGAAAGTAATTTTAAAAGTTTGAATAACTATCTTTTAAAAATAAATTAAATTACTATTACAAATAAAAATTAAAAAACTAGCAAAACTTTTGAAAAAAAAAAAAAAGGGACTCATTCTTCAACCTTTTGTTTGATCTTAAATGTTTATGACCATGCTTAGCGGACCATCTAGGCTCATGTTCGACCTAGTTTTGAGCCCAGTTAACTGATTAATTATTTATTTAACACTTTTAAATTAAGGGTATTTAACGAAAATTAGCATATTGCTTTTCACATTATTAAATTTAAATATTAATATTGGATCATTAAATGGAAATTTAACATAATGTTATAAACAGTTTTGTATTTAAATATAGAGTAATGCTACAGTTATCGAAAAGAGCGCACTGAATTCATGCACCGAATGACGTGGTACAATCCTAACCATCGATTAATATTAACTCATAATTAATTGACGGTCATGATTGTGTCACGTCATTTGGTGCGCTGCTTTCGGTGACTGTATTATTTTCCTTAAATATATCATTTCTTTTGCTAATTGAATTCATCTTCGCATAAGGTATATGTTACACTTAATATTTATATTCAGCTTCTGAGAACTTTGAAAGATTGGCCACCTTTACGTTCAGAATCTCCAAGGTTGTTAATGAGGATAAAATTGAGGCTTAACAAAGTTTTTACAAAGATGATCATTCTCTTAATAAGGTATATTCTCTATTTGTTGTGACAGACCAATCCCATGAAAAATAATGCATGGCTAGAAAAACAGGGAAAAATAATAACACACATGAAACACACGATAATTTATGTGGTTCGGCTTTTTAACTTATGTCTACGAATGAAGATAAAAGAAAAATTTCACTAACAAAATAAAGTATCCAAAGTTTGGTGAAACTCTCAATCCCACAACCCAAATACACCCAATGGCTCTTACACTCACACACTCTAATATCTCTATCTAACTCAAGCTTTGCGTCTCTAGTGTTTGTATTGCTTGAGAATTTGTGTGATGATCTTGCCCTCAAAATACACCCATATATATGGTGAAGGGAAACCATTTCATGTCAAAGTTTACGGGACAAAATAAGGGATTTGCAAAGACCTTGTAGCTGCCATATTAGCTTTGAGAGTAGACTTTGTTTGACAGACATGAAGTTAAAATTTTGCTTCCAATTCGGTGGCATTAAATGTCTCTATAGAAGTCAATTTGAAGTCTTTGAACATGTGTGAATGTGGAAAAAAAATATAAAAAAACATGTGAACACAACTTTGCACTATTTAAGCCACTTTTTTTATACTATTGATTTTATAAGTAAAGTTTTGACCATTTTCTTCATCGTTTCTTCCGTGGGTCTCAATTTATCAGGCAGACCTTAAACTGATACCTAGCTATTTTCAGACTTCAATCTTACCAGCCTCCGAGTTCGAGCTATTTGACGCTGTCTAAAATTTTTTTTATCAATTAATGTTGCTAATTTAATTGCATTGTTAACTATAGTGTAACAAATAGAACGGAAATGTGATTAAATCTTCTCTATTGACAACAATTTTGTACCCGAAAAAGGGTTCACAGGATAAGTTGATCGATTAAAAACATTAGAAAGCTCAATACATTCATTATAATATGGGAAAAAATTGGAAAAAGAATATGTAGATGTACTTTCTAAACTGTATGTCTTTCTGACAATTCATGACAGCATGTATACACAACCAGAAAAAAGGTTTTGGGCTACGTGGAAGAGTCATTGTTTTAAACCACCTAACGCGTTCTGAAGTAAAATCGACACAGAAAAGTGTCAGGAACCGTGCCGCATAAGGCCAGTCATTTTACAAGAAAAGCGACTCAGGACAGCCGCGTCATTTACGGAATAAGAAGATAAACGACGGTAATTCGTGTTTGCTTTAGCTTCAATACAACACTTATTGTGTCGTGCCTTCAGCACTGCCTAGGAACAGCGCATACCAAGATAAACGACGGTAATTCGTGTCTGCTTTAGCTTCATGACCGTAATTCGATATTCTGTGCAATTTGATAGAAATACGAATAGATAAAAAATAAAAAAAGTTATATGTTTGGATTGAAATGTATATAAGAAAATTAAAGAACTCGTACCTTTATTGTGGATCTAACACAGATATGGTTAAGTTATTTATTGTACAATTCTCTGCCTTAATTTCCTTGGAATTGTCTTGATCAGCAGGTATTCTTTCAGTGGAAAATGCTGGTTGCTTTGGCTTTGATAATTTTACAACATCACTTCCTAACATTCATGTAGTCAAAGCGAAACATCACAGTCGATTAAGGCGGTGCAGATGTTCGAGTCAAAGCTACCCATGAAATTGAATCCTGTAAGGATTTAAGATTTTGAATAGACCATACCCAGCCTCATAATTCTGGGATAAAAACGTTTCGCCACTAACAGTTTCAAACTAACCTTCATTGATTCAAACCAAAAATCATATTGAATTATCCCCAGAAAAACGAAAATTCCCGCATCGCTATATATAAATATTTAGTGACATGTGATCCCTAATTAGAAAAACGTGTTAGCTTTTCAAACCCAAAAGGCTAACCTATTAGATGGAGGAACTCTCCCCATTTATAAGCCTAGGACCTCTCTAATACTTATCCAATCTTATGATGCCCTCGTCACAAATGAGGCTCCTTGCCTATCCGTCCACCTCACTCTTGTATGGACCTACAATCACATGTAGACACCCCTGCATGGGTGCTTGGCAGGACATCAAAAGATGTATCAGATCTGCTCTAATACCACTTGTGACAGGTTGGGAGTTTCACACCCAAAAAGTTAACATGTTAGGTGGAGGGACTCCTCCTATTAATAAACCCAAAACCTCCCCAATACGCATCTAATGTGGGATTCTTACACTGTGCTAAGAATATCATAGGACTTCAATAACTATCTTTGAGTTGCTTGAAAAATGTTTTAATCAATGTTCTAATTGTGAGTGTAAAATAATTCAGTAAATAGAACCAAAATGTGATTGAATCTCGGCTTTTCGGATTATAATGTTGTACCCAGAAAAGGGTTCACAAGATAAGTTGAATGAGAAACTGTTGAAAATTAACCTTGATTTTATTGTAGAACATTAATTTTCGACTAGAATTTGAAGGGTCTACAGTTATCCAAATTCAGTGTATATATATCAAATTAAATCTCTGTTTGTTTAGTTTCCAAAGCTTTAAATCACTCATCAATTGGACTTTTATTGAACAAGTTATGGATAATTTACTATTGACTATTCACTGGTAACCGAAAAATAGAAAAAACGGAAATGTTTGTGTCTTTTGGTGTGTAAAACATCGAGCAGATGTGAATAGCATAAGATGTCCTCAAATTAGAATCTTGAGTTTTCTTTTTAGTATATATAACTATGTACTCAAGCTATGTTTGAACAAGTGAAAAAAGAAGTTTGATTTGTGAATTCCTTTTCTATTTCTTCTTTCCTTGTGAGCTTTGTGCCCATCTTGCTTCCAACAGAAACATATATAAGAAAGCTCGATAAAATCATTATAAATACAGAAACAAAGAGGAAACAATATGTCAATCTATCATCTATGTGTCTTGAAATTGTATGCCTCTTTCTGTTGAATTCATAACAGCATGTAAAAGATCCACCAAGTAACATTTCATTATGCGCCTGCAGATTCATGATCTGCATCAGAATTATGGCCATAAATTGATACCCAGCAATGGTGCAGAGTTAAATTGTAATTACAAGTTGATATTCATGAATTGATAGAAATATGAAACTATAGACTTAAAACAAATACTTCAGTATATTAGAGGTGATATATAAGAAAATTAAAGGATTCATACCTTTATCGTGGATCTAACACAGATATGGTTAAGTTATTTATTGTACAATTTTCTGCCTTAATTTCTTTGGAATTGTCTTGATCAACGGGTATTCTTTCAGTGGAAAATGCTGGTTGCTTTGGCTTTGTTAATTTTACAACATCACTTCCTAACATACAAATAACAGCTGACATAGAGGGCCTGTCCACAGGATTGCGCTCTACACAAAGCAAGGCCACATTAATGCATCTCAAAACTGGGTCTTCAAAACATGAATCACGTAATGTTGGATGCACTAGTTCTAACACTGCACCTTCTCTCCACAATTCCCAGGCCTGGAAAAAAACCATTAAATTTAAACATTGAGATAAACATTTGTTGGTTTTAATGCATAATTAAAATAATGACACTACATTATGACTTACATATCCAACGAGATTGAGCGGCTGATCCAAATAAAAAATGCTGTTACTCCTCCTACCACTTATGATCTCCAACACTAAAACTCCAAAACTGAAGATATCAGATTTCGTAGAGAAGATGCCATCTCTAGCATATTCAGGAGCCATATAACCCCTAGATTTCATTCATGAAATACAGCCAGTTAGTATGTAACCAAATGAATAATTAAGGTGCTCCAAAATTTACATCTTCAAACAGTAAAAATTCTGAACTATTTGATATACTCACCATGTTCCGACGATTCTATTTGTATTTGCATCAGATTCAGTTGTGGCAAAAATCTTTGCCATACCGAAATCAGATATCTTGGGATTCATGTTTTTGTCTAATAATATATTGCCAGATTTCAAATCTCTATGAATTATTGTTAGTCTTGAGTACTTATGGAGATAAAGCAATCCTTGAGCAATTTCTTCAATGATGTTAAAACATTTGTCCCAATCAAACAGCTCCCTTTTAGAATCTGTTTATGAGAAAAACAGAGTGAACAAACCTATCAGGCATATGAAAAATGAATCAAGGGATTTTTAATGTGATGAAACGTACTTAGAGAAGATTTGCATACCGAAAATATACGAGTCCAAGCTTTTATTTGGCATGTATTCATAGACTAATATTTTCTCTTCCCCTTGAATGCAGAAACCCAAGAGCCGCACCAGAGTCGTGTGTTGTAATTTAGTTACTATTATCAGCTCATTCTTGAACTCCACAAGCCCTTGTCTGGATCTTCCTGAGAGCCTCTTTATTGCTATCTCTTGTCCATCAGGCAATAAACCCTGAAATAACAATCATGAAGTTGATACTCAATTTTAGACAAGCTTTATTAAGGAACCAATTTTTGTCATTCTCGTCTTCCAAATTTACCTTGTAAACAGGCCCAAAGCCACCCTCTCCAAGTTTGTTTTCAGATGAGAAGCTATTTGTAGCGTCCATGATGGATGAAAAACAGTACACTTTTAAGTTGACACCTTTCTTGCCATCGATTTCAAGCTCCTTAGCTTCACTCATTAATTCAATCAGGAACTTTTCTGTTTGGATGGAAATATGAAAAAGTTGAGCTTGATATTCAGTAAACTAATAACAGAAAAAAATATTTCATGCATACGGTTTAGTGTATTACCTTCAAGACAAAGTCTTCTCCATCTTATAAAAAGAAAAAATCCCGAGAAGAATATCACAACTAATGCTGCTGCTGCAGCAACTGAAATCAATATCCACTTCCATATTGACTGCTTCTCTGCCCAATAGAACAAAAATAAATATTTTACTTTATATATATATTGTCTTTATCCTTTGCATTGGCAATTTTATCGCCTATATGATAAACCTTTTTTTGAATGCAATTCTAGTTTAACTCCCTACTTAATGTGTGCAGTCAATACAGAAACCAAGATCATAATTTTATTTTGTTATGCATGTGATATTCTTGTTTACTTCGTTAGGAAAAAAAATTAGAAGAATAGAACTGTCAAGGAAATTTGAAAGAAGCTAGAAATTGTGGCATAAAGGTTTATATGGAGGGAAATCTGTGTTATAAAGGTTTACATGGAGAAAATCTGTTGAGTTCCTAGAAATTAGTGTATAAATGCTTTCAGATGCGTCTAATGGATCATATTAATACAAGTCATAAGTGCCTATTATGTAACAATTTAAAGAAAATCTGCAGATGTGTTAGCAGAAGGATGCATGTTCTGTTTGTGAGCATTTTAATGGCAATTTCACTTGTGTAATACCTGCATCTATTCTTCATCAAACCAATAATAATTTGGGGCAACATAGTTACCATAACAACCATTTCCCATAAGAACTATAATAATAATATCAATTATAATATGGTCTAAATGAAGCAGAGTAGGGAGATATACCTGAAGGGGCTGGACTGATGATGTAAAATGCTTCATCAGGATTAGGGATAGTTAGATTGCTTCCTCCATTCTTCATTTCCTTCAAAGGTCCAGAGAGAAACGTGCAGCCTGTCCCATCAGGATTAGGGCCTTTTTCTTGAACTCCAACACAAGTACAATTTTTCCAGCACATGTCCTTGCAGTCACTTAAGCTCAGATTTGTCCTGTTGTCAAATACACGAATAATTTGAGGATCGTTGTTAGAAATCGCCCTTCTTTCCAACTTTTGACCATACCTGCAAGATAGATCTTCCCATCTCTTACAACCAAAATCTGTGGTGTTTCCGTCGCATAAGAAAGACACAAAAAGATATTTATGAGTCAATGTATCCACCAAGGATCCATCACTCATCAACCACAAACTTGTAACACTGTTTCCATCCACCTCGTAACATGGAGTAGCTGTGTAGTTAAGGTATTTCTCATCTTGGTCTGAATACTTGCGAAAGAAATAATTTGCTGTTGGTGTGAACACTTCAATGTTTTCAAATGAAGAGCAAAAAAATGTCCCACTAGTCCAAAAATCCACACCTCGCCGCTTAACAATCAATTCTTCTTCTAAAGGATACCATTCCAGAGTGAAAGCCCCTGGAGTCGGTAGAGAATAACTTAGCCATGATGTAAGTGACCAGTTCTGACCAGTCTTGTCGTTGATCCCCAGTTTCATTCCCGGCAAGAGAGAATTCGTCGGAAGATCAAAACTTTGCCACAAGGGCGGTTCGGAATTCGCAGTCCCATCAGTGTTTGTTTCTTTCAATACGAAGTTTCCATCATCTTGCAAAACAGCAGTTAAATTGGTTCTAGATTGGCCTGAAAATAGCTTGATAGAATCCCCACTATTGTGTTTTATGAGTAGTGAACCAGTTTTGTTATAACTACGCAAAGATTGAATCAACCAACACAAGCAACAAATCAAGATCAAGAAACAAACACAATACCAACAGATTTACCGTGGTTCACTTGCTCTAAGATTGAGCAAGCTACGTCCACGTTGAACTCGAGAATCACACGAGCTCGCTGCACTAAACTGTCAAGTTTACAGATTACACAATAAGCAACACAAGTCACTGAAAAAACCCCTTCTTCAACCCGTAACCAAACCCTAGAGATTACACCCTTGAATCCCTAAGAACAGTGTATACAATACACCCAGAAATGACCTAACCAGTCACTCAACACTCAAGTTACAGGAAACACTCAACCCAACTGTAGAAACCCTAAAGGTTTAACAATGGTGTTTTACCAAAGAAGAGAGAGTAATCGAAAAACGAAAGACTAATCTCTGTGTTGCTTCAACTGCCAAAACATTCTGCTTTTATATGAGAACATTAGGGTTAAATGTCACCCGTTGGATCTCCCTTTATCATCAACGCTCAGGATTGATTCTGTCAGTTGGAGCAAAACGACGTCGTTCCACTTAAGTGTCAATACGGTAACGTTTCAAGCCATCATCCAACAAGTTTCATCTATGAGAAGGACCACTGAATCATCTCGGATAGGCATCTCTCGATTGGCTACCCAGATAGATTGACTCTCAATATTATCTCCTGACGATACTCCCAAGTACCACCCGTTCCCGGAACGTTGAGGGCTACGGAAAAAGCTCAAGGTGAATTTCCCGTTTCTTGAAACAAGAGGAACGGAAGAATTGAGCATATCACCTTGCATGAATGTGTCCGTTGCTGCATCAATAGAAGCCCAAAAGCAAAAGAAAATGAGCAAAAAGATTTTGTAGAAACTGTTAGCCATTGATAAGCTTCTAATAGAAGATGGCACATATATCCAAAGTGAGCGACCTGGGTTCATTATATATGCTCGTGCTGATTTTGATTTCACGTCTATGATGACATAATTGTCTCTTATTTTTCAGTAGTTGGCAGATTTGACCTTTCCAAGTTCAAAGTTCATCCCTGACCCCACAATGGAAGCGCGTTCAAGAAATATCAGCAGTTAAGTTTATTCATCTTTGAAACCATTCCTCAAATATTCAAAACAGCCGTCCCATAATTATCAGCTTTGACTAATATTAGATGTAATAAATCTTTGTACAAATTTACGCGTTATGAATTGAATAGATGAATTTTATAGAACTTAATAACTGTTAATTAATATAGATGAATGATGTGATAATATAAAAAGTTACTATATATCACTTTATATAAAAGAATGAGTAAACGACATATTTCCACCCGAGCTTTAAAAGAAATCATATTCCTAATTGTATTTATTCTGGATTCTCATATTTAAAGTAACATTGTTAGTTAATGTTGAAAACGGTGAGTGAGGTTGGCAAGGTATGAATTGTGTAGAGGAGATTATGGGAAGTCCAACAGTGGTCTCAGAAGCAATTTTGGACTATAAAATCGGCCAAAAAAAGCCAAAAATTGTCAGTTTGGATGCTACTAACATGAGCCCTTTTTTGCTAAAATGAGTCTATCTATTGCCAAAGAAAGCGTCGACGTATTTTTGTGTGCTAACGTGAGTCACACTACCGTGAAAATTTAAAAATCTGTTAAAATAAAGAAAATGGTGTCACTTTAAGGGTGAGAATATAGAAAAAATATAATCAGGAGTATCAACTTAGGATTTCAATAAATTTCGGGTGAGAATATGTTATTTGCTCTATACTTAATTTGTGTATATAACATTACTGATTCGTTTTTGGCCAAACTTGTACGAGTTTGTATTTAGGCTTCACATATCTTTGATAGTTATGAATGAAAGGCGTTTGCGTGAAACCCAAAAACAAACCAGTGCAGATCTAGACCAAAGAAGCCAATTGTGTCAAAGCAAGTCCAACCGAAAATAGGTGAATGTTTTAGAATAGCCGAGGATGCCAGCAATGACTCTAAATCCGAATGGGTAAATTGTGACATCCCACGAACCAAAGCCAATAATATCTTAGCAGTGAAACGGGTGTTTCCAACAAGAATCCATTTTCAACTTCTTAAAAGCGCATCCAATGTACCCAATCGAATCTTAATTAACAAGCAGCAGCATATAATGGTGGTTCTTATATGAGTTAAGACTAGAGGTGGAACAAATGGGTCGAGTCAGACGGGTCAACCCTAACCCGACCCGCATTAAAGAGGGTTCAACCCAGACCGCTTTATAGGCGGGTTGGGTACACGCATGCAACCCCCGGGCGGGCCGGGTTGCTATATGGCAACCCTGCTGGTTGCTATTTGTTTACAATAGCCAACCAGCAGGGTTGGCCCAAAAAAAATTTAAAAAAAAAAAAAATTAATTATTTTTTTCAAGTTTCCCTCATTTTTTTAATTCTTTTAATTAAACTATTATGATTGAACTCTTACAAATAATTTTACACAATAATATTAAACTATACTTCTAAATCATAATTATTAAAATGTATAAAACTTCGTAATATTTGACACATTGTTATTATTATTTTTTATGGTATGTAAAATATAAAAAAATTAAATACTGAAGTCTTATTCTTAAATTTCCATGTCTTGTATAAAATATAATTCATTCTTATGCTAAAGTTTCATCAATTGAATGAATAAATCTAATTTTTCTTATATTACAATTTTATTGTATTAAAATTGAATTAATATTTGAAATGTTAATAAAAAAAATTTAATTTAATTGAATTATTGATATTTGAAAAGTTAACTAAAACCAATTACATTTATTCATTTATAAATCGTTAATTATTTATTTGAAAAGTTAACTAAATAAAACAAAAATCAAAAATCAAAAAAAATCAAAAAATAGGGTTAACCCAGCCCGACCCGCAGCCTAACCCGACGGGTTAGGGTTGGTGGGCCAGGTTGGGCCAACCATTACCCCAAAAATGGCAGGCCTAACCCGGCCTACCTTTGTTGGCTGGCGGGTTAGGATCAACCTGCCAAAAGAAGTAACCAGCCGCAGGCCGGGCTGGGCGGGTTACTTTTCCACCTCTAGTTAAGACTAGCAGGATTGTGGGCAAGAAGATTGAAGGCTTTTTTTTTTTTTTTTTTTTTTTTATGATCATAGGTGCTTGGACCAACTTACGCGGACTTTAACTAATCTTTCGGGGCCCTGAAACTACCGACTAAATAAGACTTCCAGTGGCTACCCCCATTACAACTGAGGAGTGACTCGAACTCATGACCTCTTGAATAATACATCCAAGAGTCCCTATCGAATCACTTGGTCACCCAAAGGTAATTAAGAAGGTTGAGGAGATTACCTTTTCTTTTTTTTTTTTTTTTTTGGTTTTTTTAATTTACTTTCCTTAATTATATAATAAAAACTGGTATTTTAAGCTAGAATTTATTTAATTGGCGTTCCAATGAAATTTTTTTCTTAATTATTGTTTTTTGGAGACATTTATGACTTTTAATTTTATTATATTAAATTTAATAACAATTTCTTCCAATAATATTCAAAAAATTAAGTTTTATAATTAAAATAATGTGATACTATTAGGCTATTAGCCTCCCATATTTTATCTCTTTAGTCCCGGTTATTATTAAAATTTTAATTACAATTTTATCATTTATTAAAATTACTAAATAGGACACAAAAGAGTTACACGTCTTTAAAAAATTTATTTCATCTCTCAATCATAAACCAATGAATCCTTTCTATTTTCTAATAACAAAGACAGAATTTATGCAGTTGAAAGAGTTAATCAAGATCATGTAAGTACAACAGAGACCCAATTTATGCTTTGCAATTGTAAATTGATTTCTTAATTTTTCTTTTCTTTCTTCTTCTTATGCACTTCCAAAAATTTATAAATTAGTTTGATGTGTTTAAATTTCTTAATTATTACTTTTATAATCTTGTAAGTTGTAAGGGCCAAAAATCGTATTGGACCTTGTCAGGCCCAATAACAAACTAAACATATTACAATCTAATGCTTTAACCTAATACCGGATGAGACTACGCTTAAATCCACCTTGTGGATTGACCACCCCATGAGATAAGCATTTTCTACAAGTTAAGCTAAATTGGGCTCTAGCCCATTAGCCCACATTCGTCCCAAAATGGAAATTAGAATCATATTTACTTTCTACTTCAGTCAAGATCTAAGATCTTACTCAAATTGGTAGTCCTAATCCGATAAAGGCAAGTCACAAGATTTCCTTCCTAACTCGAACTCCTCTACCAAGTAGGACTAAGAGTCCTACTAAGACTCAAGCTCCCTTGAACTCCTATATAAAAAGAAGTCAAGCCTCTCATTATACATTCAGAAATCACCCATAGCTTTAGCTCCTAGATTCTTGCTCCTAAGAATCTTTGTTCTCCTTGTCATAATTAAGCTTAGTTTCGATTAACTTTACCACCTTTAGCCACCACAAAGCTGTGCTCTAACTACTTTGTGTTAGTCTAGCTCTAGTCATATTACGGTAAACCCTTTCCTACTCTCAGCCGTCACTAAAATGCCTTCAATTGTGCCAACTTGAGCGTTGAAATGCCTACGACAGACACCATACCAATGTCACCTAAGCCTTCACATTTGTATTTCCTCTTTGTGCAAATCTATCGATTGTTAGTGGCTCACTTCTCACAAGATTCATCCCCTCTGAATCAACCATAGATTTTATCATCTACATAAGTAAAAACACATGTGAAGGAATTTCATCTTTGAAGATTCCATTCAAAACCAGAAATATAAAAAATTTAAATAAAATGGCATTTTTAAAAGTAGATGGGGGTTATAAAGACATTTGCGTATACTAAAATATTTTAATAGTGTAAACTTAGAAATGGGATCTTGAAATATAAAATGTGGGAGACCGATAGCATCACTCTTAGAAATAATAAAATTTTGAGAAATAAGCTTAATATTTCACTATAGAAAATGGAATTTTATTTTTATATTTTTGGAAATGCTTTATATTTCAAGAATATGATATTGCCATAAAATTTCCTTGTACAATATAATTTGTTTTCTTTCTCGGAAGAATTTCAAACATGCAAAAACCAACCCACAAGGACACTCTGATACAGTTATATAGAGTATTGTTATGGTATAATAGAATCCCGATAATATTGTTGAAAGACAAATGTTTGTGTTGATACGCAATTTTGACACCAACTAATCGACACATGCGTAACGTTGGTTGGCCAAGAGACACACGTGGGTATGGATAACGTGTAGAGTAAATGCAGTAATGAGAGCTTTTTAAAGTGGTTCGAATGCTGTAGCAAGCCCTACGTCCACTGATAATTGTATTAGTATTGTGGGTCAGGTCGCAACAGCGGACTAACTTACAAATGATTAGGGAAAAGTAAACACAAAGATACAAGAGAGAGAGAGAGAGAGAGATAGCTAGTTCAGAGTGTAAAAAGGCCGAATCCCCTCAATGAAGGAGTCTTCCCCTTTTTAGAGTGAGATGAGTGCAAGTAATCATCATTAAATCCATGGGTTAGTGTGAATGTCAGGACAAAATCCGTCTTTACGTCACATTGCCCACCTTCCAAACTAATTTCACGTGATTTGGAGCAGGGAATGGACACGTGGGATCTCCAAAGCGTCTGGCAGGCCTGGCGTGCGCTTACCATTCTGACGGGAGCAGGTCACACTCCATCACATGATTTCCCACGTCAGCCCTTGATTTCCCAGGCATAACAGTTTGGAAATAACTCTTTGTTGTGAATTGCTAGTATTTATTCATTGCTATATAATCTATCTTTATTTTTTTTACTTTAATATTTTATTTTTACTTTTCTACTAAAATAAATTCATAAATATTAGATGCTGAGTATGTATTATAGGATATCCAGACTACTAC